GGCTAGAAACGTTCCAGTATGGTCAGGGCGTTGCTTTGCATAGTGTCTCGTACACATGTAAGTGGTTCACTGCAGTCTCAAATTATAGCACTTTTTACTGCGGTAGAGATGTTCTTTCAACGCAACTGCTCGCAGATTTCTGAAGACGTTTTACGACTGCATGCTTTTTTCATTTGCAGGTCAGTGGGATGTCACTCATGCCACCTCTCGTACTGCTCCTTCACGCTGGGTTCAGAAGATTTCACACGAGCATGGCCTACAATTTTTGCAACATTTTAACATTCACTACAAGTGAGTCGAAAAGTTTCGAATAATTTTTACCAGTTGGTGAATATTCATCTTTGAAAGGGACACTGGCCTGTTTGGAGTATACTATGTAAGTGATGGAGACGATCTCGCCAATTCACAGGGAATAATGAGAAGCATCCAGCATGAATGGAAGGTAGTAATTTTTTTTGCTACAATTTCTATTTATTCCGTTGGAAGAAGCAAGACTTCAATCTTTCCCTTCTTCTTTTTCTAAGAACGATCGGGATTCCGCTCTGTGGTTGGTTCCATAAAACTCAGTGTTTTAAGTCATCATTCATTCTTTATAGCACCTTGCGGCAGCTATCTCTGATGAAGAGACAACACTCGCACGCAATCAACTCCGAACTGAACTTTACCAAAACCTTGAAACGAATACCCAAAAAGCAGAGTACAATGCAAAGGAGGTAACAAAAGTGTTCAGTTGTGATTTTGTTATATTCCCTCTAGGCTTTTAAAATTTAGTAATCTTTTTAATTGCTTAAGCTGCTCTACACTGGACATGTACGATCTCTAGCTCAGTTGGAAGAAGAAATCTCAAATATTGACCATAATGTTTTGCGAGCAACCGTCTTCAAGCATGTATATGATAGAGATACGGCGAATGCTGGCGTTGGTAAGTAATCCACTTATTTGGCTACGACTTTAAGTCAATGAAATGAATTGCTCGGTTCCAGGTCGTACCGAAGCCTTTGTGAGTTATGCACATACCCGTGCGGCCATGTCATGGTGGAGGTTGTAACGAGGAAGAACCAAGATCGAACTCTGAATATAACTTCATAGAAGTTCTTCCTTTTGTTTTCTAGTGTAGAGTTGTTTCAAATTCCCTAGAGATAATAAAAGGTACTGAAAGCTACTGCGAAAATGCACAAGTTCGTCATTCGAAACATTTTCATAATCGCAAAACCTAGGTATGTATATGTCTCTGTTCGATCCTTTAACATCTCACTTAAGCCGTAGAGCCCTTTAGAGAGGAGACGGTGTGATGGGAACTTTGCTACGGAAATACCACTTGATATCGTGCGATCGATACTTGCTAATATCATGTCCGTGTTGTAACACTCTGAGTAAACATTACATAACTCTTAAACGTTGTGGGATGGGTTCTGCTGCATCAATGGCACCCAGCAATACCGACTATTCAGTATTGATTGATGTATTGGATTTTCGCCAAGGGGCGAGAAATTGGTTACACCATCGACCAAATGTGGTACTGCAAATCGAGGTTCTAGATCATCATTTTGAAATCGAACCCATCGATATCTTATTCGCGTGCAAGAGCGGCTCTGGCTCGGCCAAGACTGACTATGAGGGCGTTCCTATCCCAATAAGGTGTGCCCAAAGCAACAGGACTTAGTTGAAAGTAGTTTTTGTCATTTCCCAGAAATTGAGAAATCAGTACTAATACACACTTATCGTTATTGAAGTCGCTCTTCAAAAGCGAAATATAATTGGACATGAGCTACCGAAGGTGATACGGTGATTGAAGGAATTTGGCTGATCATAAATACATTCAGGGGAAAGCTACGCTCAAAGGGCGTTCACGTAAAAACATAAGGCTTTTGAATGAATTAGAAAAATATTGATTAGTTACCACATTCCACGCCTCTTTCCTATCCTATACTTTTTATCTTGTCAATCGATATATCGATCTTGATCTGGTTTACCGATAGTACGAGGTGAAACATTACGCTATCAATGATAATCGATTTTTGATAGTGATCGATTTAACAGCACTTACTGATCGATTCGACAGTCAAGTCACGTCTATGTTTACATTTCACTGACGGCCTTGACCGCTCACGACTACGTCGGGATCGGCGTNAGCCTCAGAATCTGGTCGATTATTGGCCATTTGTTTTTTCTGTAGACGCAGTTTTCATGAGATTTCTATTGGCAGATGGTGGCGGCTCCCTCGTGATAAACACCACCCTGAAACAGGTCTTCCTTTCAAGTGCTTTTTGTCGCTGATATCGACTGGTCGTGTGATTGAAATGTGTTGATTGCGAATTTCACACTATACCACCACCTCAACTCTTTCATCAGCTGCAAATATTCTCATCGTTCTTCTTCTCTCCACTTTTTTCGGATACATCCCTTTCTATACCGTATAAACAAAATTGGTCATTGCGATCGTGTGTTGTACGAGCATAGGACCTGCCTATATCTCTCCGAAAGCGCACGCGTCATAGAACGTCAGAGCAAGCTTATAGAAGGCGATCATTCGTGACCGCGAATGTACCGCTCGCCGCTATGCTGCGTAAAGTATGAACAGAAAAGGAAAGTATGGACATGCCTTAGCCTTTTTTAAACCAGTCAATCGTGCGTAGTAACTATCAGAAGACTCCTGTAATTGGCAACGATCGTGGCTTGGTCTTCATTTTCTAAACAGATCTTTCTATCCACCTCCTACTTCTGCCCGACCATGCCCTTCATACTATTACTACTTGCAGGTGAAAAGTTGTAGGAACCATACGACCTCCCTCGAGCGCAGCAACTGTGACCCCCTCTCCCGCCTAGGGTTCCCCAACTTAAGCTTACCCCTGATAGCGAGCACAATATCCCAATGCTTGTTATTTGCTGTGATGTTTTATGCAACTTATGTTCGAGGAATTGGAAATCAAGTAACTCAGAGCAAGGCACTTCTGTCTGTCTGTCTGTTTTGATCATTTAAAAGATTGTCTCATCAAAGAACTCCTCCGCAGTAGAGACACGTTTTTGCTCTGGTGTTTAATTTTCTCGTTGACTATTCGTAATTTCTGCTGTCGTGAAATATTGCCTGTCAATTATTTCAAGGTGATTTCCCCTTTTCATATTTCTAGGATGAAAATTTCTTTTGCAATGGCCCTATCAGATTTTACCGGATGATTCACCCTCTCCTTTCCAGCGTTGGCGTTGAAGGAAATTATTTGCGTTCAGGGAATCACCTTTATGACAACCATCTTCGAAAAGAACAGTGGAAGGAGTGTCAAGAAGTAACGAGACGTTCAGACAAGTGAAACAGATAACGAAAAATCTGCGACCTATTTTTTCAATATCCCATTTCCCATATGCCGACGCAGAATGTCATCGGAAAAACCGGTGAAGCAAGCTGAGTATAGAAGGGGCAAGACCCTGCCGACCGCTACCTTCCAGAATGGCGTCGTAAGGATAGCGAATATGATCTACTGTATAGGGGTGTCTTAATAAAACAAACAAATGGAACAAATCGAAATGGCTTATCGATGCTTTGGTTGCTACACTCATACTCGAATTGGCCAATAGGCGGCAGGCGGCTGGCAGCGAGCAGCGGCGTCGGTGCCGATCGATATAACGCTGATCAAGAACCTTTACGAATGTGACACCTGCTAATTTCTCCTTTAAGAATTTTAAACATACCTCTCAACTTTGCTACCCCCTTCAGAATGTTGAACAATCAATGTTACGCTAGGTTTATTAAGAAAAAAAAATGCATAGAAGGCACGCATGAACTCCTTGAACGTGTGGAACCCAGCTTGGGCTGCATATCCCATACCAGGTCATAAGGTACAATCTATGAGTGATTTGGATTCGATAGGGTTCTTACGTAGTCAGTCTCCATAGATTCGATTGAGAAAGGTGCTTCTTTGCTTTCTTATGTTAAGCAGGGCCCCCACGAAGAGTCCATTGTTACTCGTTTTCCCAAGATGCCAGATGAATCATTTTGTGAAAAAGACTAGATTCTCACAATAATGGATCACCCGGCAAATTACAGAGCCCTCGTTGCCATGAGTAGGGATTTCCTGACAGGTGGGTTGGACGACTAGCTGATGCTTCTTTGTAGGCCCTGAAAGGTGGTGTGTAGCAGATGGTTGTAAGGGCCTCTGCTCGGATGTTCAGACTCCGATGAGATTGGAAAGAGAGTTCTGAAGGGACGTAACACACTGTTAAGAAGGGCACTCCAAGCATAACCCAATTATTCAGAAAGACCGTGTATTGAGATCGGAGTCCCTTGCAAATCACACTTCCACAGGGAAACGGGCGTTAGGAACGATTTTGGGTAATCGATTCGCCGCACGCGGCTGTCGCGGACCACTCACTCGCCGTTATTACAGCTCTAGCGTNCGCCCCTCTCACCGCGACGCGACCATTTCGTTCCTAACGCACCACACCCCACTTCCACATTCTTCCCCGCTGTCAGTAGTCTAATGTCTCACCCTTACTGGTTCCTACAGCGCCAACTCTGATACCCTTCGTACCTCTATCTAAGCGCACTTTGGTTTCGCTCACTTCAACATTTCAGGAATGATCCATACCGAGTACATCCTATTATTATGACCCGGTTGAGTTCATTGGCACGAATTTCACGGTGACAGCTATCATTATGAAAATCCGGTCCGGTATAATCCATACAGTAACATTATTGATACGCTCCAATGCGGTCCAATCATTGCACCCATCGGACACTCGTTTTCACTTCCATGAACTCATCTTCAATATTCTACCCCTCCCCTATTTGACAGGATAACAAGGCATACCATAGTCAAGAGAGCTTCTAATATAAACCGGTAAGTTATGAATTCACCCTTCAAAATACAGCTAACTCTACTGAAATTCTCTATAATCACCACTTTCGTTGAAGCTCTCCATCCGCATTCATCCTTTAACTCAAGTTATTGCGACAGACTTCATCAGACATTATTCCTCTTGCTTCCTTCCATTCATGAAAAACCCAGAAGAGGACAACAGAAAACTTGCGTTGATCCAGTGCAACGATCCTACAAATTTAATTTGTGATTAATATTGTATTGTTTTCGAGTTTTTTTATTTGCTGGAAAAATAGCTGAAACAGCTGATAGACTGCCAATTTAGCTTGATGATCTAGCGCTTGGTTTTCTTCTATTTTTTAAAAAACCCTAAACTTCCTTGGAAGCAATCTTGCTGAAGCACACGGTTATCATGAACAAGCTGGGGTCTTATTTAGCAACCGTGAGGTAAGCTATGCGGAAAATTACTCCTATATGTAATCAGCTGATCCGTATTATGTTTGCCTAGCTGATCACTCACTATATTACAATTATTCATCATAGTTGGAAACCTCGAGAGAGCTCTATTTCAGTAAGAAATGAAAGGGTTTCAATTGTTGTCCGAAATTTCCAACCCACCGCACCTTTCGTTACCTCGGAGGTGTAGATGACACAGATTCGAGCTATATTTGCAGAAATCAGCCCATTACTGGATCAATCAGTAACCGTTCACCACTGTTTCGAACGGGTTCTGAGACATATGATTGTCCACCTCATTCCAAAAGTTGTATAAAAAATCCTCAAAAAGGAGTTACACGAGAACGGACACAGGTCTTCCACCACGCCTTCATAAGACGTAGCTAAAGGATCGGCCAGTAGGGTTCTGCAAAAGATCTTTTTCAATGGCTGTTTTGTGGTGGTAAAACAGCACATTCGACACCTAGTACAAGTGGTTTGGATGCGCCATGTCTTCCCCTTCCACTGTGAAACGTGGTGCACTGGCACGATTTATTTTTCGTTTTTTCGTGAATTTCAACGTCATTGACATTTTTTCAAATATTTGATACATTCATCGCAGATTATTTTGTTATTTCTATAATTAGATCCGTTTTGTTTCGCATGGTTTTTGTTTTAATATTCCACGTCAGTTGTCCTAGACATATGTGATATGTGGGTACCGGGAAAAGCGCACACTGCTGCTACACAAACGAAACCGTATGCAATGAGCTTGTGAAAGGTTTAGTAAGCTTACTTAGAC